TCTACGCCTACACTGATGCATTCGTATGCCAACTGCACCCCTCTAGATCTCCAAAAACTCCACATATCTGTTCAATTTTAAGATTTTATATATTCAAATGCATGTACAATGTATATATGATTTTATTTATTTATTATGTGACAAGTTTTAAAATTAGCCGAGATTAAGATTATATGGATGGAAGTTTAGTTATACTGGAAGCAGAAACAAAGTAGTAGTCAATATTGAGGAACAAAAGTAGTAGTCAATATTGAGCGTCAAGAAGTACCTAAAAGAGATTTTTTGAGATATATGGGATCCATAATCCATGAGAATAGAGAGATCAAGGACAATGTTGCCCATGGGCGAAGTGAAGATATGTTTTTTGAGTTTTATGTGATCGTCGTATGCTAATGAAATTGAAAAAGAGGTTTTATAAAGCGTCACAATTTTGCCTATGGGTAAAGTGGAGATATGCTTATGGAGTTTTATGTAATCGTCGCATACTAATAAAATTGAAAAAGATGTTTTACAAGGCGCCACAATATTGCCTTTCGACAAAGTGGAGTTATTCTTCTAGAGTTTTATGTGATTATCGTATACTAATGAAATTGAAAATGAGGTTTTATAAGGCGTCACTATGCTGCCCATGTACAAAGCGGAGATATGCTTATGGAGTTTTATGTGATCGTTGTATACTAATGAAATTGAAAATAAGGTTTTATAAAGTACCGGTAAGATATCCATAAAATGAATAGAACTGTAGAGAGGATGTGAAAGAAAAAATATAATAGAACTAAGAATGAACAAATTCATGATAACTAAGAGATCACTCCAAAAAAATAGAAAAATAGAGAAAGTACACTTCAGCAAGCTGCAAACCTCAACAAGCAAACTTAGGGGGAGTTGCCAACTTAGAACAAGACCGGTTATAAACACCATTTAGATAAGTGGAAAGTTTAATAGAAAGACTCAAAAAGACATGAATAAAAAAAGTAAAAAGAGATTAATTGATTTAATGTTTAATTGAGAGTACGACCTGGACAGAGCAAAATTACCTCCTTGAAATTTGAGCCCCAGTAATACTTTCTAATTAGGGTTTTACTGGAGTTAGTTAATTTGAGAATGGTCCAGAGGGAGCACATAATCCCTTCACAAATAAACAATAACAAGAGATTGTTAGTATTGTAAAAAGGGCGTTTGTTTCACCAATTGTTTTGTAAAATCAAAGTAGACCCACCAACCCAGAGTTTCTCTCACAATCCCAAGGAGCCAAAGGCCCACTCCTTCTATCCTCACCAGGAAACGAACATTCACCATTGACGTCACTCTGATGTCTTCTCTCTCTGAACCTCTCTCCATTTTTAACGTGCCACGCCATTGAAAAGCTTCAACTTTGTGAGCTGCAGACGTTGAAGACAGAGAAACTTTTTTTAGAGAGAGAAAGGGCGAAGAGAGAGAGAGAGAGAGACAGGCAAATAGGGAAAATCATAAATTCATAACAACTGGAATCAGAAGAAGAAAAAAGTAAAGCCTATTCTAAGGAAACCCATTAAGGATCCTCTGCTCCTGCCCCGTTTTTCACCCGTTTGCTGAATATTGACCAATTGTTCAAGAATTGGGTTTTAGATACAGCTAGAGAGACCAACGATTGTTTTTGATCCGTGGGAGTTTTCTCTTGTTTCCATCTCTACGATGACGGTTGTTGAAAATGCAGTAAATTCTGGTGATCAACGTGTTGGTGATAGCAAGTCTGAGTTTAATCGAGATATGAGAGAGCTTGTGGATTTGCTTTCTAAATTGAACCCATCTGCTGAAGAATTCTTCCCTTCTTCTGTTACTAATCGCCAGTACTCGAATGATCTCAATGATAATAATGAGGATTTGGGCAACGATGGTTCCATGAACCATAGACGGGTAAGATTTTGATCTAACAATTTATTATTATTTTTAATAACATTTTGGTTTGTTATTCGGTTTTTATTATGAGTTTTTTTATGGGAAATGCGTGAGAAATGGATTTTGGTTTTTTATTTATTATTTTTAATAACATTTTGGTTTGTTATTCGGTTCTTATGGGAAATGCGTGAGAAATGGGTTTTGATTTTGGAATTGGTTGGGGTTCTGGAGGAAGTTTCTACAAAAGAGAAGTTTATGATCAGCTTTGAGTCTTTGACAGTCTCCCATTTGGATTAGTTTTTAGTTTATTGTGGCGTTGTTTTGTTGATTTTTCTTTTCTAAATCTACTCTTTTGGAGGGCATTCTCTCTCACTCTCTCATTCACTCACCTACTCGATGGAGCTTGTTTTCTGAGATGGACTTTGGGTTTTGGGTTTTGATTTTAGTTTACTGGTCTCCCTTGTCTCTCTTGTGGCATTTCCAACCTCCAATTCATTTCCATGCTATTTTCCCTCTCCTGCATTTGAATCAAATCAATTATAGTTTTAGTTTCACTTTTCGTTTCTATTTACTTTTCATTTATATTTCGTTTAATTTTGAGCGAATTTTGTGCCTTTGTACAAGTATGAGGCGGTTAGTTGTAAACAATTTGAGTTTTATCAGAAAAATAAATAGTGAAGATAATCTCCCTGTCTCTCTAAAATGTAGGATATGTATTTACCCTGATAACTCTAGTTCGGCAAGTTTTACAAATAACTGGATGATGGGTTCCCTAAATGTGGAAAAGACCTACTGAAGGAACAATATCTTATTTATGTGTAGGGTTTTGAATATTGGGTCATGGTTTTCTTATTCCATCATTGATTTTACCAGAGGAAGAATATTTACAGTCAAGGGAGGAGGCGATTAAATGGTAGAGCTCTCAGAGCGCAAAGAGATGATAGCATCAGGAAGACTGTTTATGTGTCTGATATTGATCAGAATGTAAGCAAGCAAACTAATTCTCTTCAAATTGTCTAAAAGTTAATACTGTCAATTTTGGAATAAATGTTCTAATATTTTTCAGTAAGTAGTATATGTAATAATGGGGTTCTTTACTATGATAATTAGGTTACGGAGGAGCAACTTGCTGCCTTATTTATCAATTGTGGACAGGTTGTTATCTCTTTTTTCTCACTTATCTCCTCAAGATAAATCATAGGAAAACTGGATACCACAATATATTTGCAGAATTTCATGTATAAGTTATGGGGATAGATATGATGTTTGTTATTTTTTTATCTCTGACTTTAACATGCCATATGTAGTTCATGACATCCAATAGTATGTAGTGGGGCAAACCATTTTAAGTGAATTACATATTCATTAGAGATTAGGTCATAGTGGAGATGATCAGTTTGGTTTTCTTTGTCAAACATCTATAAACTTGCTGATTAATCCTGATCTTTCAAGAAATATGTTGATTCTCACTTTGAGATGCACCGATTTTTTAAGTTTTTCATTTGTCATGTGATTGCGTGGTGCCTATGCCATGTTGTTCAATCATTTTGTCCAGAGCGTGCTTGAATTTTGTCATACATTATAATAATTTAAGGGCCATGAGACATCAATGAAGTTGATTTTTTTAAATTGACTGGTCCGTACAGAAAAGCATGAAAACCCTGGCTATATATTGCTGGAATGTAGGTCTTGGGGTGTTTATACAATTTTTGACTTTGTACTTAAAGTATTCTTATTTTGCCTTTCTCTAAATGGAACTCAGTGCACTTTGACAATGCACATTGCCCAGCTTGTGTATGGGAATCATCTCAACAACATTATGTGGAGATTTTTATCCCAAAGCGGCTATCTTTTATGCTATTTTTCTTCATCTTTATTGACTAAAAGTTAGCTTAGTTTTGGTCATTTTTGCACACTAAGACTTCATAGAGGGATTGGGTATTTGATGGTTGGAAACTGTTTTTTTTCTTTTTTGATGAGTCGGTTATGGGAGACTTGGCAGCATATTTTTTTATTTTTTATTTCCTTGGAGTTCCCAAACAGTGCACTTAGTTTTCCTGTGCATATGTAAAGATTCTTTTTTGTTGTGGAGTGGTTCTGGACAGGGTGGAGGAAAATTAGCCAAGGTTTGATATCTGCCACCTGACCACCTCTATATTGATTAATAAGGAGGAAGGAGTACGTAGTGAGATACTGGTTACTACCATTATATCAGGCTGCTACTCCCATTACATCTTTATTTCTACTAATGTGCTCTTCATTTGGCACCATTACCTTGGTCATTGGTTTAGTCATGTAACAAGTGGTTTCCATCTTCAAAGCTGTACATTCTTATAATGGATTGTGTCCCAGTTCAAATGCTTGCTAAATACTGGTTTTCTTGTTTTGCATATCTGTTGGTGACAGAACACTAGATATGTGGCTTTGATTTCTCAAAACATCTTGGATAGCTTAGAATATAACTTAATGTGGATATTGAATTGAAGTGTTGAACTTGAAATTCATTTTTATTCTCACATGCCTTAAGGGGCATGTTGGCAAAACATGCCATTTTCTGCTAGACATTGTCCAACTGTGACAAAATGGGCTTGGCTGTGTAAAAGAAAGTGCACATTCTTGATATTGTGCATGCATTTATGTTAGAGTGGAAGTACGAAAGATAAAGTGTTGGTAAGGACACCTTTTGAGGAGTGAAAAAAGTTTTAGGAGTGTGAGTTTCTGAGTTATGAAGTGGTACTAGAGCAAGAATCTGAGTTTGATACTGTTATTGAATACCCAAGTTGTAGGCATCATGTATTAAAAGTTAATAGTCTAGAGACTATGAATTAAGAAGAAAATTATATTAAATGTGGCTTAGAGATCCTCATGGCCATTGTTAATGTCAAGAAGTTTGGTTTCCATTATGTGACATTGCTTGAAATTGTTTGTATTAGCCGCACCCTTTTGGTGAGGTTGTGAAGAACTAAGTTTTGATGTATGATTATGTATTATTTTTTAAAAATCGCATATTGATGGTTTCTCTGTATTCTTTTGTATTATTTTTGAATAAATTGAACATTCACATGGAACACGCATTCTCTTTCTACCAGAAATCCATGTTTCAGATTGAACTAAATAGAGCGGTTGAAGACTTTTATAAGTGAATCTGCGGTGCACTGAATATGCACCAGTGAAAGCTAAGCAGGCACATAAATATCTGATTAAACAAATTATTTTTCTTAGATAAGAAAATTAACAAAAAGGAAAAGCAACCATCTTGGCTTTTATAATCAATTGAAAACATGAAGGCCAGTGCAATTAGCAAATAAAATTAGTATAAAAAAGGAGTTACAATCAATGAATAAAATAACTAGGAGGTAGCAATTGTTCAAAATAGTTGAATACGGTAACTTAGTCTATTATGCCATGGTGTCCATATTGGTGTACACTTTTTTTCCCTCACAACCATTAGAAGGATTCATTTGGCAGTTACTATTGGCAAATCATCTAATAGAAACCATGTTAATAATCCATGATGGTTTTTCTTTATTAGAGAGAAGTGTTTTTGGCAGAAATTGAATTCTAAGTAAGTATATTATGTTGGCGTTTGTGGCCTTCAAAGCTTGTTTGAGCATGTAATATAGTAAATATAGTGAAATGTGCGATTCAGTGGGAGTGCATATTTGATTAACCCAGGGTTAGGCAGTTTATGGCCTGGGTCAATGTCCAAAACTTTTTTCCCTTGGGCATAGGGACTACTGTTGAGGGTTTTAGGAGGGTCATTTCTTGTTGAGGTTGGAGAGATGCCTAGGAATGGTTTGTAGGTTAGGAGAGCTTCGTGGTCTCATGATGTGTGGTTGTAGGCTTGTGAGAGCGAAGGCCAAATACATCAACAAATTTCCACACGGTATGTACATATAATAATGACATTCTGGGACGAAACCCTCTAGAGGGATACATGTGCATATGTATAGAGTGAGTCCCCCTTAGACTATAGTGATAAGTGCATGGAACTTGTTCTTAGAGGAAAACTTGTAATCCATATACTAGAACCATGGTTCCACATTTTTATTGGCTAGCCCCTATGCATGACTGTGGGTCAGGTCTTGTTGGGTTGGGTTGGTTTAAGAAGATAGTTGTGGATTACAGTTTCTAGCAGGGGTGGAGTGCCTTGATAGTCACTTTTCTTAGCCCATTGGTACCAATCCAGTTATAAAGTTATTTTTGAGTGTTTTAGAATTTTTTTAAGAACTTCAGATATATTATATTCATCTTTATTTATGTTAATGTATTTTTAAATATTTACAGAATTTTAATAAAATTCTTTTATGACTTAAGCCCTTTGAAAGGATAGTAATGAAAATTTGAATTTAGTAGAGGCATGGTGGGACCCATGTTTTTTTGTTTTTTTTTTTTTTGGAGGGGGGGGGGTCCACATGGATCACACCCCCCACTTAGTGGGACAACCCACATATTTCCCAGCAAGTTGGGAGATCTAGTGGGGAATCTTGCAAGATTTGGAAAATACTTAGAAAAGAATTTGTGAGAATATTTTGTGGAAGAAGAGAATATTGTGTGTTTTGAGAAATATTCTTATTGCTTTGAAAATTGGCAAAGACTCTTCGACTTTGAATTTCTACTAGGTCTATGTGAGAGAAGAAATTCTAGTCAAAGTAGAAGATGAGTTTTGGCTGGTCTTATGCTAGATTGACTAGAAGAGGATATGGGTCAAAGATTTAGGGGATGAGGTTTTTAGATTCCTTCCTAAATCATGATGGCTGATTTGAGGGATGGATGACTCTAACTTGTTTATCTCTCACCTCACATATTATTAGAAAATCTTGTGGTCAAATTGGATCCTAATCTAAGTGGAATACCCTAGGACCATTAAGGCTTATATAAGGAGTCCCCTCATTCTCTTCACCCTTGTTTCTTAGACTTCTCTCTCTCACCTCCACTCAATCTCTCTCTCTCTCTCTTCTCTCCATAGAGATCTAGGCCCTAATGTTGTTTAGGGGAGGTGGAAGTTTTTGAAAAGGGTCTAAAGGAATACTAAGTAGTACCCCATGCTCTCAACCACATAGTTTTGTGATAGGGTGTTCCAGAGGTGCTTCTAAGTTCAGTTGATTTTAAAGGACCTAAGGATCAAGTGTGCTATCATTTAGTAATTGTGTGTGGGGCGTGCCAAGTCCTAAGGTGGCAACCCTAGATGTTTTCCTAGCTTCGTTTATTGATTTTATTTTCAGTTTTTATTTATAATAGTTTAGAAGTCGTGTCCTTATTGTATTAGGATTCCTATTTGAATTAGGATTCTTACTTGGACTAGGACTCTTAATGAGATTAAAATTCCTAATTGTATTTGAATTCATATTGTGAGTTTGAATTCAATTTTTGAATAAAAGTTTTATTTGGTAGTAAGAGTTAAATATCCTAGATTAGTGGATTTATTTCTGCATTGTATTTTGGCAATTGTAAGTAAAAATCCAATTACTAACAAAGGGAGGAAATTTTTTTGAATTTATATTTCGGAATTCTACATAGCCACACCTTTTATTAGCATTAAAGCAGGTCTTTTTTTGTGCCATAGTTTTGGAATTTTTGTATTTCTTAAATCAAGAACATGGCAACCAAAGGCTTAATGGCAGAACCTTTGAGACTGATTGGTTCGATGGAAAGAACTATGCAAATTAGAAAAGAAGATAGACTATGTCCTCTTTGAGGAAGGGCTCAGTGAGCTACTCATAGAGAACCTCCCACTTGAACCGAGAGGTAGTGCTTATGAGAGGCAACCAATTAGGGATGCTTAGCATAGAAATACCCTGGCTAAGCATCTCTTGTTAATAGCTATGGATGACTTCCATGCTCTTGAGTACAAAACCCTAAAGACTGCAAAGCAGATTCATCATAAGCTTGAGAGGATGATGCCATTCCTTTCTTCACTAGAAAGATACTTGCTATGAAGCGGTACTCAGTCTTAAAAATGATTGGCTGAGCAATCTAGACTTTCAGAGCACATGGCCAAGAGCTTGAGGCAGCACAAGTAAATCCCGACAAGAATATCCAAGTGTGCCACCTGCACAACACTTTACCAAGTTCATGGGAAGCCTCACCTCAACCCTCACTGCATAGGAGAACATGCCAAAGTTAGATGAGATAATCACCAAGCTTAAAGCAGT